ACTACCAATGTTTTCAGAATGACATTATACAAGGTGCAGGCTGTACCACTGTGCCCTAAAAATATCAACAACTGCATTAGTCTCACAATAATTAATGGCAGGCATTATGCAAATGACAACTTTTTCGCTGCAAAATAATGACATTTCTTCATTTTGAGCAGAGTTATGCAAAACAATGAATTTAGGATGATAAATCACACAGGAGAATTAAGAAAGCCATAACGTTCCTGCCCAGGCAGGCAGAAAGATAGACAGACCAACAATTTAGAAGACATTGTTTGTTCTCACACCACTATAAAAAATCATAGCCAGTCGGCCATTAATGCGTGTGGGTTTTTTTCCTTCTCCCCTTTAGGCAACAATGCATAAGGGGATGCTAAATTCTAGCAATTGGATCATTACAAGTCACAGGCAAATTTTTCTTTATTAACCTTAATAAGTCATTCACTCAGAGACTATAGTCATCAGGCAAATAAAAAGTATCACATGCCATTCTGCTACACATTAACTAATTCCTTATGCAAACATCACAACATATAGCAATTACTGCCGCTCAAAAAAACAAAGTCATTTTCAATTTATTTTATTGCTTTTATACTTGGCCATTTCCTGTAGCACATTATCATTTCTTTCCATAACAACCCGAGGTGGAATGGAGAAGAATTTCAGTAGCAATGAGCCCTCCCTCTAGTCACCTTTGTCATACCTTTTTCTCTTCCTGGAACTGCTAAGGAAGGTTAGGGGTAGAATGTGTGTGTGTGTGTGTGTGTGTGTGTGTGTTTGTGTGTGTCTGTGTCTGATTGTATGTGTGCACTCACACATGCACAGATGCATGCAACACATCTCCAATAATCTTGAATGGAAGGGCACACTCGGCCCCTGTCCCTGGGTGAAGATGGTAGGAAGACTCAGACAGACTGGTCTGCCCCTCACATTTGCTACCATAATGCTGACAGTGTTCCTCGATTTTGTAAAGCAAGGTAAAAGTGCAGGTCTAGATCTACCACTAATAGGTGAACATTAAAGTCAATATATTCAACATTAATCTGAGAGGGATGCCCATTATGGTTAATGAGAATTATGAAGTTAGTTTGTCATGCTTCACTCAGCGCAAAACCTGCCCCTGCAAGTATTCTGAGTGAAGAGCAATAATAAATAAATAAACTCCACCCATCATGTTAAATAGGCCTTCTTTCCTTTTTATGTTCATTCCATAATATTCTTTACCCAAGGCTCCCAGGATGTGAAGTAAATGCTAAATCAATGTTAACATGTGCTCAACAGATTTTTTTAGCCCATTTTACAGACTGACAAATGGGTTCTGAGAAACCAGCGATGTTTTCACGATGTTGGATAATGAAAAAGGTCAGGTCTGACTCAGTCTCTAATGTTCTAACCTCTGAGACACAAGGACTCTTTCTCATAATCACGAACACTCTTTCCTGCTGGTAAACAATTAAGCTGAAAACAGCCTGTAGAAGTCCCTGTTCACACAATAGGATCATCATCTCTCCCCGTTCTTCTAAATCCACAATTCATTCCCCCCTTTTTAAGGTAGAACATTTCCAAAATACATGAGGGAAAAGCTTCCTTTTTCAGTTTCTCTTCCTGAAGGTAATAACATTTTGCAGTTCTCCTTAAATAAAATCCAGCCCATGCTGGATCAATAAGAATGATGCCCATTTCCCTAATGGCAGCCGATTGCCATTTGCTATTCAAATCAGACTAGATAAATTACAGTACATGCCAGGGAACAGGCCAGTGAATTAAGACAGGCCTCCAGAGGACCAGCAATATTATTAATCTTTTAAGACACTATCATATTTCTTCTTGACAGTGTGCGTAGACTCACAGACACACTGCACCCAGATTGAAATATCAGCTGCTGAAAAAATCAATAGTGTTAGAAACACAATAATTTTTGGTCTGCAGGGCCTTCACTAAGCAACACTTGTGCCCTCTGTGCCTCCTCTTCTCCCATTTCCCATTTTCCATTTCTCCTTCCTCCCTTCTTATTTTTCCCTTTCCCATTTTCTGTTTTGCAAAGCTCATTCACCCAAATGGCAAGGCACAATGAGGGAGTTTCTGCTGGTAGCACTGGCCACTGTGGACAGAACATTTTCCATGGACTTTATGAAATGCAATTGAACTCGACTGGCAAATGTTTTGGTGTGGAATTGTTCTCCAACCAAGTCTGATAGAGAAATGCTGATATTTAAGAGACAGTAATTCCAAGAAAGAGCGGGGAAGAAGAGAGAGAGAAAAATAATGAAAACCAGGATTAGAAATGGGGGAGAAAAAGAGAATTTACTGAAAAGGGGGGAGAAGGATATCAAAACAAAAGATTATAGGGAAATACGTAAAGAACATTATGAGATGGTAAAGGTTTTAAAGGTTTTAATTGAAATTCTGAAAAGTTGGGATTAACCCTATACTCTACTGTCTATGCACTATATATTTTTTCCAATTTCTTAATCCTTTGGAGTACTTTTTTCCTTACTAGTTAATAAGTAATCTAGCAACCTACTTCATAACAATTATAAGTATTAACTAATGAGATATATGTACTCTTAACAGAGTTTATCTTTGTAAATAGTGAAAAATGATATAAATTTTATTTCCAATAAAGAGAAATTTCTAACATATCTGCTTTTCTCCTTCCATAAAAGTAAACTAACAAGATAGACATTTGATGTCAATAAATAAGAAGACTTGGATATTATTTACATTACTAGTAGACTAATTAATAGAGTTTGTATGTTTTTGGAATTTGGGGCCATATCCAGAAGTGCCCAGGGTTTACTTTATGCTCTGAGCACAGGAATAACTTTTCACAGTGCTCTGGAGACCAGATGTACAGCTGGAGATCAAACCAGACCCCTGAATGAAAGGCAATTACCTTAAATCCTATACTACTGAATTTGAACTAGAACTGAGACCTATTAAATCTTATCCAGGACCTTTTTATTTATTAAACTGGTTTCATTGTTTTTCATCTTTGTTTCTACCCCCGACTTGAGCTTACAATTCAAGTTGATGTTGTTTTTCAAATGAATGGGGAAGTAGAACACACAAAGCATTCAACAAGCTTGCCTACTTTGGTGGTGGTTCGGGGAATCTCAAGTGTATAATTCTTAGCCAATAATGACATAAGTTCAAAGAATGGGGACCAAGGATGCACCGTTGTTTGGGACCTGCAGTGTCAGTGTTGAGAATTCCCTAGCCATCCCAGTAGTACTAAGAGACTCTGAGGGTCGGCAGCAGGCAAGGCATTGTGTGCCTTAATCTCTGTACTTTCTCTCTGGTTGTATATAAAATATGGAGAGAAAAATGCTTTCTCTTCAGCTTTGCATGTTTTTATGTTTCACTCTCTCACTTTTTTATTTTGGTTTGATTTGGAGTCAGACCCACCTGTGCTCAGAGCTTACTCCTACCTTTGTGTTCAGTGACCATTCATGGTGTTACTTAAGACCATCTATGTTGCTGGGTATTAAATCCAGATCTGTTGCATATGCAAGGCAAGCACATACCACTGTAGTATTTCTCCAACCCCATATGTGACTCTCTCTTAATCTCAAATCTCTCTTCAGTTACTTTCCATTTGTCTTCTTTCTTTTATAACAAAGTTTTTTGAAATAACTGCCTGTATTAGCTATTGCCCTATCTTCAAATTCTAATCTTTTACCAACCTCCTCCAATGAGGCCTTTTCTTATCCTCTCTACTAGATCTGCTGCTGCTAAGTCCAATGATCACATTTTCATTCTCATCTTACTCAACTTCTCTGCAGCAACTTAACACAGTAAATCACTACCTTCTACTTCAAATACTGGGACTACCTTTAGAAACACCTCTCTTTTCAGTATTTCTCCCTACCTTGTTGGGCGCTTCAAATGTATTTAAATCTCAATGAATTTAAAATGTGTTATAAGAAATTTGATCTCAAGTTAATTCTGATTTGGGATAAACAGAGCATATTTGTCAAAACAATGAACTCTTAGAAGGTGCTTGTAAGATAGCCAGGTTTTGAATGGCTGGGTTTATGATTTTGAAAAATGCAGAATTGAACAGAAAATCTAGTTCTTGGTTTGGCTTGAATCTTGTTTATTTCACATATCTCATAGCAAATGTTATTAGCAACTGACTTTTTGAATTCCAATAAGTGATTTTTTTTACTTAGAAATTTGCCACATGAACAGATTTCTACAAATAGGAAAAACACAGTGTCTTTAATGACACAGAATTTCAGATACCTCCATACTGAACTTGAGATTCATATGTGGCAGGCCTTGTAGACCTTCCAGATTCACTTTATTATTTCACCCAGTTTTGTTCAATAATTATTCCTTAAGGTCTACACTGCAAGAAGTGAGAATATAAAACACTTGTAAATGAACCAAAGCAAACTCAGTATGGTTTCAGTGCTATGTTGTACATCTAAATTTTAGCAAAAGCCTGATGGTATCTTTTAAAAACACAAGGTACAGGGCAGAGAGATAATACAGTAGTTAAGGTACTTGACAAACATGCTGTCAACTCAGGTTTGATTCCTAGCACCACATATGGTCCCCTGAGCGCTACTAGGAATAATCCTCACCAGGAGATAAGAGCAGGAGCGACCCCTTTGCACAACCAGGTATGGCCAAAAACTCCTGCCCAAATAAATGGGAAAAAAAAACCCCACAAGATATGCTCTTTCAACAGTCCGTGTTGTGGTATCAGATGAAGCTCATTCAAGAGAAAAAACTGTCCTTCCCGAGTTAAACATATGATTGGAGGGCAAAAAGGTAGTTTTCTAACTCATGTTTGACTCCAAATTTTGATCATACTGTAATACAGAAGTTTACAGACACGATAAAACTTCAATAGGATAATAGCACTAGGATGAGGTCAAACTATTTGGCAATAATTTCCACATCTTCTGAATATGGTAATTCCAAGATAGTCAAGAAAGGGCATTTTCTTAACCAAAAAAGGAATTTTCTCATCATTTGTATGTCACCTGTCATGGAGGAGTAGACTCTGGCTCCCCTTTCTGCTGAAATTCTTCCACAAAGTGAGCTTGCCAGGACCACAACCAAGGTCTTTCTTTTATCTAGGCTAGAACAAATATTCCATTTTGAGTCATGAGAGCATATCAGCAAAATTCCCAGAGTTGATACTCTAATTATATACATATATATTTATTATTTTTTATGAGCTGTTCCACTAAGTTAAACTTTAACAGCATTAATCCAGGAGAAAAAATCTATGATTATAAACCAACAATTTTGTAAAGCTATCTCATGAGTTAAATATTAACTTGAAAAATTTAACTCAAAACTCCAAACAAGCAAGAGGAGCCAAGAGGACTGGAAGAAAAACTAAAGATTTGGTTACTTCTGATAAATCAGGTTAGGCTTGTGGAGAGGAGGCAGTGGGTGTATTTTAGTGCTGGCTGATGTGTAAGAGGTGCTGGGAAAGAGAAATATGCAAGAAAAAATCATAAAATATATCTTCTGATTACTATCAAATTCTCAATAGAGTACTGAGGTCAGACCTGATGGAAAAGAAAATTCATAAAAATACACTGATATGCTTATAGGAATTATAAAGGCATGTGTTTCAAGAATTTGACAACTTTTAATTTTTTTTTGTTTAATTCACATAGGGAAGCTATTCAATACAAGGCTGGCTAGATCATATCATTTGCTGCCATGAACCTCATGTGAAAATTTCTGCAACTTTTCTCTCACTACAAAAAAAAATAAAATGAAGACTAATCTGTCTGTCTCAGTTTTCTTTAATATTAACACAAGGCTAAAAGGTCCCCTTGCTGTACTGATTGTTAGGTAATGTGATTTCAAGTTCTAAGTAATCATCAAACTGTCCATTAATTCACTCCTTAATTAGAAGAAACATTTTACCTAAGAAAAAATTTGACCTAGGCAGTAGACCAATATATGAGTATTTTATCATAAATATTGTGCTCCACGGCCATACTGGGACCACTTTTCGTATGTCCGGACGGGCCTCATGCATGAAAGAACTGGCAGAAGAACCCAGACATGCAGGTCCCGGAGCTGAGGTCTCCAAGCCTACTTGGATTGGGACTGGGTCTTCTCCACCCAGACCCCCCATCTTACAGTAGGTAGGCGTCACATCCACCAGCTGCCATCAGCGCCAGGTTGGTCCCATTAATGGCCAAGACTCAAAGACTATAAAACCCAGCTCCCAGAGGAGGACAGCACAGAGTCTCCTGCCCCCGCGCCTGGCTGTCCTCACCAGGGCCCCTTGGAGTGGGAGAGTTGAGTGTTTCCTGCCCCCCGCCCCACCCTAAGCAGAGCCCCAGCAGCTGAGGACCTCCAGAGCCAACCACGGTCATGCTGGGACCACTCTCCACATGTCTGGATAGGCCTCCTCACGTATGAAAGAACTGGCAGAGGAACCCAGGCATGCGGGTCCCGGGGCTGAGGTCTCCAAGCCTACTTGGAATGGGACTGGGCCTTCTCCACCCAGACCCCCCATATTCCAGTAGGTAGGCGTCACACCCACCAGCTGTTGACAGCGCCAGGTTGGTCCCATCATCGGCCAAGAGGCAGAGACTATAAAACCCAGCTCCCGGAAGCGTGCGGCCACAAATGCGGCCGTGTGCAACATCTTATTATCTTTCCTTTGGAGAACCTGGCAGGCTACAAAAAGTATCCTGCCCACACGGCAGAGTCTGGCAAACTTCCTGTGTTGTACTCAATATGCCAAATACCAGTAACAATGATGGGTCTCATCCTCCTAATCCTGAAAGAGCATTGAAATGTTTTTTTTAAAATCTCTGGACTAGGTAGAAGGAGACGTTATTGGTGCCTACTGCAGATAATTGACGAACAACAGGATGATCGTGATCGTGATTGTGTTCTAGGTTTTTAAATATTTTTAAAAAATTATGCATATTGGGTTAGGGATGTTGCTTAGTAGTAGAACATTTTCCATTTGACTATAACATGTATTGGGAACCCTGAGTTAGATGCCTGGTACCACAAAACAAAGAAAAGGAAAAGTAGAAAAGTTTCACAATCTTGTATCTACTTGATATCTACAGTACAGAAAAAAACTTAATTACTTTTAATGCTGTTTTAGGAATGGTTAGAAACTATTAAAATTCTCACTATTAGTTTGTTAAAACTCACTTCTGCTTGCCTATTAAAAACAGTAGTTCATTAAGACACCCCGGGGTGTTGCTCAGAGGGAGCCTTGCACATGCACAAGTGTGAGTTCAATCTCTGTTACCACTGCGTGCCATCAAGTATGACTCTTGGTGTCACTTGCAGGTGAGATCCCTGGCACAACACGAAGTGAGGTCCTTCATACAACACAACAAAACATGTAGGAGCACTGAAACCAAGCATATGACTACCATACCCACCTCCAATGAGATAGTGCAACAAGAACAATATATAAAGAAAAAACAAATACTTCTTTTTTGGGTGCTGGGGGTTGAACCCAGGGTGACACTCATGCAAGTCAAGTGTTCAATCGTTGAGCGACATCACAGGAAAAAATAAAAATATTTTATTTTAAATAAAATACTTCTCAATGATCATCTTTTAAGAAAGAGTCCAATTTTCCCTGTCAATGGAAAGGCTGAGGCCAAATAGTTTAAACTGCTCAGTGATGGAATTAGATGGAAAAAAATATGATGAAGATTCATACATACAGATGGAACAGTTCTTATATCACAGCTATCTTAGGACATAGATACAGCGTATCAGTCCTTAATTTTGTTATCTGAAGTGTGTATTTGACATAAAAATACAAGCTTCAGAAAATAATACTCACTATAGAGCGCATCTTGTGCTTGTGGGTATGATTTCAGTTTTAAAATACTTTCTCACAAAATACCTTTTGCTATCCTGACAAATTCAAAATGTAGAAACAGAGGGCTTTATCGTCTCTATTCTATAGAAAAATAATGATAATTCTAGCATTGAAGAGTTGGTTCCAAATTAACTTGAGTGAAGAAAGGAGGACCCATTAGCAGTCAGGCTACCATATGAACATGATAATTAAGGAACAGTATGAATATTGTGGATTAGCAAGACTTTGTTAGTGATCATAGAAGAGCATCAAACAGGAAAGCTTCAAAAACATTTAAAGGAAATAGAAGAACTAAGGGAAAAGGGCAATGTTCAGACTAGCTCATAGGAAAGAAAACCTGATTAGAGCAATGAAGGAACTCCAACTAAAAATAATTTACCTGAGACATATTAATTATATACCTGTGATTTTTTCCACTTTGGATTCTGTAGGGTACCCAGTGGTATGCAGCGAGACTTACTTATGCTTGAGATACAATTATTGAGGTATTTACTTATTGAGATAATTTATCAAGATAATTATAACACAAACAATTCAAATAGAACAGTGTTTTAGAGGAAACCATCTCATATCTAGACAATAAAAAGCTTCATTACAATGAAAAAAGTCTAGTTAAACCCTGAAAACACGGAAACGTGGTAAGTTATAATATTTTTTTCTATGGGAAGATATGAAAGTGGAAAACCTAGCATCTATTTGGGAGATGCAAATAAACACATTACCTGGAATTACACCAGGATACAATTCTTGGGAGATCCGTTGACTCTGGAATGCATAGGTATTTTTAAAGATTATCCTAGGTTCCATGAACAAAAGAGATCTAATAAAGGCTTGTAAAAAGGCCATGGGAATATTCAGTGCTACTTAGTATAAGAAGTTGAGAATGAGACGAAGAATAAATTAAAACAGGGTGAGCCTAAATGTAATAAGGGGTAGGGTAGAAAGATATATCTAGCCAAATCTCTAGAATCTGTCATGTTCTGGATTTATTATGAAGAAAAAATGCTATTTATTAAACCCTCTACTAGGTTCCAGTAAGTGGTCTATGCACTTTATATACAGTACCTCATTTAACCTTTTACAAATAGTAAAAGGCAAGTTAGTGTCTGTAGTAGTTCCAATTAACAGAGTATTTTTCAAGTATGTATAGCTAGTAAGTGATAATCAGGGTTTTACACTCAGGCCATATTGTCCTGGAGAGAATAGTACAATGGATGAGGTATATGCCTTGTATGGGAATGATCTGTGTTTGATCCCTGGCACCCTGAATGTACCAGGAGTGACCCTTGAGCACAGATTCCAGAATAAGTTGGGTGTGGCCCAAAATACAAAAAAAAAAAAACAGACACAGGACATTTGACTTAAAGATCTGCCTAATTAGTCCTGTGATGCTTTTCTTCGGTTTAGAGTTCCTGGTAGTTGATCCTAAATGATAAGATTTGATAGAAATGTATGACTCATAGTACATGAGTCATAAGATCTTGAGAATCCTGGGAATTCTGATTCTAAAATTTTTAGGTATTGGATAGAATGGTGATATTTTGAATGAAAATAGTGTAATAAAGCAAGCCTTCTGGCTTTAACATTTCATATTTGTTGAGTTACTATTTGGATTTAAATTGTCAACTTACAACAAAAGTCACAAAAGCCACTGAACCTTCAAACATAAAGCTCTTTGAAAATAGGTAAGAGCTGATTTATCCTGCAAAGGCCCGCTAATATATATTTGGGTTATAGCCCAGTATTTGACATGTAGGAAATGCTCAACAATAATGTGTTAAATGAATGAGTTGAGGGGGTATTAATCATAAAAAGGAGACAAAGGATATAGGATAGTAAAGTCAAGAGAATATGGCCCAGAATCTGACAAATTTCATACTAGCATCCAGCTCAGTTGTTTTCCAACTATAAAACTTAGGACAATTTATTAATAAGGTGGACTAATTATTTATGGGGAACCCAGGTAATTTTTCTGGTTTAATTCTACAGAAGTCAGTGGGTGTATGCAAACCTAGAATTAATGCCCTCAAAGGCCATTATCTCTGACAGAACAAACTCTGCAATCTTCTTTTCTTATTATGTTTAAATTACAAAAACTACATTGAAATCTATAGAAAAAAGACTTGCCAAGTAATTGCCAGTTTTAAAAGAAAAAAATAAATTATTTTCAGAGAAGAAAAAAATATAGACTTAAGGGGAGATTTTAATTGCAGGGAGACAGATCAGCTGAATGGTTTTAACTTGGACTT